GTGGGATGGGCTGAACTTATAGTTCAATGGCAGTCGTGAACGAGCATAACGCTGGTGGGGAAAACCGTTTTTCGTCTTGGGACAAAGAAAAAAATTACAATTTCCCACGAAGAATCGAGCCTCAGACCTTCGGATTTCGCGCTCCGATGCTCTACCACTGAACCACAGTGACTCTGTGGTGAGCAATGCAGATTACGAAGTTCTCATATGACACGGTAGTGTATCGGAGTATCGCAACGCGGAATCCGAAGGTCTGAGGTTCGATTCTTCATGGAATCTCCTCTCATATTTTCACGGAATATCCTCTTCATATTTTCTTTACCGAGGTCAAAACATACCATCTTTCTTATTATATTTACAAACATGAGGCTATCGACAACGCTGATCCTAGCAGTATGCAGGACGCGTGTTAGATACGAACTTCGTAATGGGCTTCACCCCTGATGGAGTCTCGGTGGTTCAGTGGTAGAGCATAGAAGCGCGGAATCCGAAGGTCTGAGGTCCCAATCCTCATGGACACTCTGAATTTTTTCTTTGCACCACGCTCGTGACAAGACGGACAACATCTTTCTCTTTCCCGAGCACACACTTTTTCTTTTTCTTTCCAGAGTTCAAACTTACCACCTTTCTTATTCAATTTACAAACATAACGCTGACGTAATACGGAAGTTGTGTCTAAACAGAGTTTAATAAAAGAAGTGTTTTTCCAGTTGTTGACTTACGCACCAAACGGCCGAGAAGCCAATCTCAGGTCGCACCTGATAGATCGTGAATTTGACGCATGACGAAAGAGTGTGTTGTTTAACCAGATTTTAGTAGCCGAGCACATGAAAGCACTGACAATGATAGACATGTGTAATCGACAGGTGCCATACTGGAAGAAACTGATCGACGTGAGCATCATGACTCCCAAGGAGGTAATTAATATTCGTCAATCTAAGTGATCTCTCATGCTAATGGTTCCCCCGCAGCAGTAGTTTAGGCTTGGCACGCAGTAAGCTTTGATAAGAGTAGGAGAGAATTGCGTGACCATTCCAGGCGACGGTTGGCAACTAGGACTTGGGGGAGGTGTTTATTTTGCAAAGTTGTGGACCTTAAATGAAGTGTCTCACTACCTGATTTCTCGTCTAACTTATTATTCCAAATTATTTCCTTTAAATGATTGTAAATATTTTATTTACGCTTTGTCTGCCTCGAACAGTTTTTATCCGATTACCTCCATGAAATGAATTGGAGTCGAACGGCTGCTTTGCCGGACGGCTTCACATAAACAAGCCGTAGACTGGTTATGACTACTCCTTCCCCTCCTTCTCCCCTCCTTCCACCCCTCTCTCTCCCTCTCGACCAAATCTCCTCCGGTCCGTACCTCTCGAGAGAACAGTAGACTATTAACAGTCTAAATCTGAATTAAAATTTTAAATCGTAACGAAACAAAGACATCAGTGACTGACTTATTTGCTTCTTATCGCAGATTGATTGGTTGAACGATTACCACAAACAGTGCCGAGAAAAGGTTGGCAAAATGTTAAAAGACCAAAAAAAGGAGGACGTTTATAAATGGTTGGTGGAAGAAACTGAACCAATCTCCACGACAAAAACAGAAGTAAATGGTGGGCAGATGCTGGCGGTCTCTCTTGTAACGATCTCGTTTTCTTTCCTTTCCTTGTTTTCCCTTCTGTAAAGTAACATGCTAATTGACAGAATGCACGTCCATGGCAGTAAGGATTTTCAAAAGCCAGGTAGCATTAGAATAGCCATTTCGTGGGAAAAGGGATTCCTCTTTTATCATTTCGATCAAGTTGTCAGTTTTTAATAGCATAAATGTTATGGTTCAATTTTTTTGTTTAGTTTTAAAACTTCTAAACCGATTTAGTTTGGATGTGCCTGTATCTCAGATCTATAACCATAATCTCAGTTTTAGTCATTTTTGTTTTGCACTTGTACCTAGAGCAGGGGAACCGTCAAAGTTCGTTCTACTTAATATACTTATGGTATCTGCTACATCCAATAAAGACATATATCCGGGTGTTCCTTGACTTTGTTATGATTATTTTCCAACTACCAAGTTGACCTGACCTTTGCAGTGCGATCGAAGGTAGTGTGATACACATTCTATATGCTTTCCAGTTTACGGAAGCTTGACGGTAACAAAAAACAGAGGCTGTAACTTCAAATGTTGCCGTTGTTTTTTTTTTTTTTTTGGGCCAGGATCGTACGTTGTTTTTGTCAAAGCGTTTCTGTTTGTGACTCTGGATTCTCTCCACGAAAAAAATAGAAGAAAGAAAACGAGAAAAAAAATTGATAACCTCTGATTCGTTGTTACTATTCATTATAACAGCAGAAATTTTGGGTGAACGCTAATAAACCTATCTGTCGTATTTCACGAATTTTCCAACGGTACAAAAATGGGTTCAACGAAGAGTTCACCAAAATTATAGTTTGACAGAGACATCTTGAGGGTTTTGTCCACTCTTTTAATATGAATGGCAATAAACACTCAAAAGAATGAGAGATAACATAGAATAAATGCGGAGTACTCGTGGAACATGTTGTAGAAGGTTTGTTTATAGCGATTTACACTACAACTGAATTTTGTCCTTTATGGATGATTCGAGTAGGCGTCTCTAGGGTTCACCACACGTAAACGGCCATTTTGTTGTTTAAGACTCGGGTAAATCTTCAAGTATCGAGCGGTCGTTAAGATCAAGAACAGCGTTAGTACAGCATTAGCAAAGGCGTTGTAAGAGTTGTGATTCCACAGAGGTAGCGACATTCCTGCAATGGTGAGTAGCCATAACAAGATAACTAGGGTGACAAACCGTTTCTTCTTGACTAATACACAATATCATCGTCCCGATCGAAGACACGGTATATCATCCCGATCGTCCGTCAGGAATCAACCTGCCTGTTCATTGCCATTAAAACGGCTGCATGAAGAGGGTGGACAATTGCACCAGCTCCAAAATCGGCTAATGCCAAAGTGAACAGAAAGGCCTTGAGCACCGAATGTAACTGTAGAAAGGAAAGTTTCCAAAACGCAACGATGATGAAAGTGTTACCAATAATTGCCACAACAGAGAAAACGGTGTTGACAGCAATGTCGACTATGTACCAAGTGAGAGGGATATCAGAGTGTATTTAGAGGCCATTCAAGACAACAGAGAAGTTGTCAGCCATTCTTTGTCCATTCACAAATACTGATACCTCCAAGCTGAAAGTGAATACGAGAAGACCTAACTTCCAGCGAACATATGCTTATTGAGGAAAAGCTCAGAGCTCTGACTTTACTGAAATTAATCGCCTGATTTTTTTTTAGTACACAGTTAAGTTTTAATCAGTTTGATTTCATTAAACAGTTGTAGAGGTGACAAAAGTAAATGGGAAATATTCGTTTGTAGTATAAATAAAATGTACAATGCGTTGATTTAATCAATAGTTACCTTTTTGCAAATAAATTGTTTTCTGAAAATAAACAATGAGAGTTCAAATTGAAACGAGAAACCTGCAACGTGCTATCAACGTTATAATAGGATAAGGGAGCGCAAATTAATTGTATTCGTAAGTATTCGACGGAGACACGAGTGATAAAGTTTTCTGTTTGCCTGGTTGTTGTCGTTTTCCGCTCCCTTTACCTTTTTGTGGCCCGTTTGCAAGTGTTTCTGCAATTTTGTTTTCCTTATGAACTTCCGTCAATGATCATCAGTACTTTTCTTCGTTCGTTTCATGCAAATGTATAAATAACCGAGAAGAACTGGGAAGAACTACTAATTGATGTGGGAGCAGCGCTTATCTATTGGCTATTGACCACTAAGCAGAAAGTGACTGGTTACCTTTCGATGGCCATCTGGTTTGGTACACGGGTTGATTTAGTACTAACTTTCATTGGGAAGAGATCCAGGATTGGTTGTGGTTCAAAGTCATAAAATACTTTAAACATCAGCAAAAGGATGCGCCTCTCATAGAGATAATCCGTTGGAAGCCACTTAAATTCCTTCAGAGTAGTGCTATCACTGTCGATTGACTGTACTTTGTTTATAATGTGACACGCGCTAGCATGGATGCAATTCAATGATGTAGAAGAGGGGTAGAGCAATTTGAATATACAGCTCACAGCCAGCTAAATACATTTTCCTTGTTAAGAAATAAACAGTTCTGCTGAGCAACAGATAGCTTTAACATAGATGTAGCTCATGTATACTTTGTTCGGCCTTGAAAGTAGTAGCGATAGACTGTCATCACACATCGGCAATTTGGATTACTTGGACAATAAAAACCTGTTTCTCGTACCTTTGTTTTGCGCTGCGAAGTCAGGCGTGTAAATTCTTTGAATTTAATGCAAATTTGTGGGTGCGAGATAACGGTCTTTTTTAAAACCTCCGAACAATATCCCCAGATGTTTGCCCTTCTTACTCCGCTCAGTGTTTCACTTCAGTATTAACCCGAGGTAAATCTGCAGCTATCATGGTCAACTTAACCTATGTCAGGCTTCTTGTCGGTCGACAAGGGATACTTAAGAAATTTAGTTTTGCTGTGACATGTTTTTATTCACTGGGAAAAGGAGACTTCCTCAAATTGAAACGAATTAAGAACAAGTAGAAGTAGCAAGTTCCTTTTAAGTTTAATAATTTAGAGAAACCAGAAATATCCATAAATTTCAACTGAAGGTTTCAATCAATCCGTTGACAAACACATAGAACATAAGCTATAATATGTATCAACATACGGTTCGAATGAAGAGTAATATTTTGACGCAACTATAATCGGGAAGGTACGTTTTTTCTTGGGGGGGGGGGAGGGCTGGGGAATTTTGGTATTTTTTCCAAAAGAAAGTCTTGGCCCTCCCTCATGTTTTGATTAAAAAACTCCTGACCCCCCCACTTTTAGATGACTGACAAAAGTGTGACCCTCCCTTCACTACCACATAGTATGCTCCATGCCATAGAAACCTCAGAACATTCGTAGTTCGTCGTGTTGATGATGCTCCGGCACCACGGGGATACATGTCGGCAATGATGGTGGATAAGCCAGAGGAAATGATTTTCTATAACCGCGATTTTATGAAGAAGTATCACGATGCTCCGAACAATAAGAAAAACACTATTCCAGGTCATGGATATTTTGCTAAACTAGCTTCATTTGAAGAGGAGCACTGCGAGAAAGGGGAACTGTACATGGAGTACAGAAAAATGTCTTGTCAAGAGAAAAACGACGAGCTATGCGAATACTGTCGAGCAACTGATTTTCTAAGTCCTACTTCCGCTACACCTACTCCACGACCCTATCCCGATCACAACAAACTTCCTGACTTTCACTGCCTACCAGGTACGAAAACACCAACGACTGGCCGCAAACCTGATGATTATCAGCCTAGAGCTCAAATAAAACAGATGTTTCAAGAGGGTACGCTCAAAGCCGGGGATAAAAATGCGATCAAAGATTTTTCTGAAAAATATATTGTTTCAGAAAAGCTAGTTGCAGACTATATTGATCATCTGACTGACATTGAACTAAGAAAAGATAAGCGGAGAACAGAGAATGACAGAAAGCGTACAGCAAGAAAGCAACAGGAATACAATGACATTGACTGGCAAGATCTTTATCACAAAAACCAATTGTCAACCCTAAGAGTAGGTGAACTTGAACTGTATATTAATCATCACAATATTTTATTTAAAGGGAAGAAAGATGAGAAAGTGAGGGTTGTGAAGGCTCATATTGGCAGTAAGATTTTGACTTCAATTGTGCAGGAAAAACAGACAAACATTCCGCTAGCCTCTGACTCAAATCCAGAGCCTGACAGTGACAGTGACAGCGACAGGGTAGAGGGCGTTGTTGGATCTTCTAGTAACTCTTCAGAGCTTAATGACTCGGGAGATCAGGCAGCGGATAGACAACAGCTGGAACAAGAAACCATACCCGAGTCAAGTACGTCACGATACGGACGGAAAAGGACACGAGTACTCCGAGAAAATTATGTGCCATGGAATAATATACATGTAGACACCCAGTAACCTTGTAAAATTAGTACCTGCACCGAATTAAAAGAAACAAGTTGAAAAGAAAAAACTTAGTCTGTTAAAGAAAAATGGAAAATAACATCACAAAAATCCCCATTAAAAATCCTGGAAAAGGTGTGACCCTCCCCTTGAATAGCTGAAAAAGAGGGTATGGCCCTCCCCCTTTGGTGCTCACTTTCACTGATGACCCTCCCCTCTGAGGCCCAGCCCTCCCCCCCCCAAGAAAAAATGTACCTTCCCTAACGAAACTGTTATGCACCGTTAACGAATAAAACGTACAGAATACATCTATACTCAAGTTCAACCTTTAATAGGTGAAGCGATACAATTCAAGTATATCTAAACAACGTCCATAACCTTGTGGATGTCCACAAAAAGCTCTGAGGACCTTTGTGACTATCACTTAAACAATATGCAACAAACTTGCCTAACTTTTGAAAAAACAGAGCACTACTCAAGGCAAGCTGAATGAACAGCCAAAACATCTATTTTAAAATATAAGATAATAACTCCAAATTCTTGTTTTAGTTTGTTGAAATAAATTTTCTCAAGATGGCGCTTGTCATCCTCAGTGGTAGCGATGCTGTCAGCCCCAATTTTTTTTCAGAAGTGTTATTCTAAAAACACATGACTTCTTCAAATGGAAACATGTATTTTAAGACTTTACAGTGAACCCTAGGGCCAGTAGAACCCTTTGGAGTATAGGCTCTGATTTGTTTTCTGCACAAAATAATGCCATAGGGTTCGGGTGGTACCAGGTCACTCGGGGTTCACCGAAACTTGATTTTGCAGCCATAAAACGTAGTAATTTTCGACCTAAGAAGCCATGTAACTTGTATCAGAAGCCATGTAAGCTGTATCAAAAGCTTCAAGTTGTTCAACACTTTGATCTTGGGCTTCACGACCAGGTCGATACCTCTGGGAACCAGGTTTCTTTCCTGTTTTCTTGGGGATCAATGAGCTAACAAGGTCGGAAAGTTTTGGCTCCCATGAAGAGATTACTTCATGAAGCATCCCCTTCTAGGGACAGACCGCAATGGCATGGGCACACAGAGTTTCCTTTTTAAATCTCTCACAGTCATAAATCACTTTTGAACCAAAAATGTTGACGATGTGAAGCTTTCGGGGGTTGGTTATTGAAGGTGCAATCACTGTGGCATCATTGATACTAATAACTACGTTTTTCCTGATTACGTCCTTTGCTTTGTCCCAGGATCCTCGCAGATGCTCATGGAGGCCACTTTGATCTGATTGACTGGTACTGTAGTTGACGTGGTACTTGGACTCTGGAGTAAGGAATTGGATCCCACCGGGTCATTAACACTGATTTTTGCAGCCCGCTGTTTTAGGCAAGCATCCTCTGTTACTTCAAGATATCGATACTGTAATCGAATAGAATTAAAGCAAGCTTTGAAAGTTCAACATCAGTAACAAAAAGAACAAAGTTGGCAAACCTTTTGGACGCATGAACCCTGAAATCAGCAGTGAAATGCCAGAGATGGTTTTCCAGTTTGATCAATATTAGTGTGCCACCAGTTCCAAGTTAGAGCATTCGATTGACTCTCTTCTTTTCATAACCTCGAGGACTTCAAACCTACAATTTCGACACCCAAGTTTAAAACATACCAAGAAATATTCATTAAAAAGAGATTTCAAATTGCTACGAAGTAGATTTTATGAGCTACTTAGGACCACGTTTGAAAACCCGGTGGTTTTTATCACGCATCCGTGTTGCCGCCGCATGGTCATGCAAAACGAGCTTTGAACTGAGTAGAGGGAGTTCCTTTAGAAATACTAACTTACCCTGACGTTTATCAGTTAAAAACTACTGGTAGATTGTAATCACCATTGAAAGAAACTTCTGCAGACATGATCAAAACGCTCTATGAGTCTGTGCATTTGTTCACTGACTCATGCGTCAACGTGCGATGTGCGATATGTTGTCTCAAGCGTCACGCAATCACGCACGTCAACTACAATATACGGTCCGCGGTTCTTTGCTCTCATTACCATTATTACTATCACTTGTAACATTTTTTTATTACCATTAATTTTCTACCTCATATATCAGCTTTAGAACGCAGACTCATCAGCGGTTTTCGATTGTCAGGAGCTGAGAGGAGCGAAAACCAGGAACATATCGAAACACATCTGAGTTCGCAGGCTAACCATCGATGGAAAGAGTCAAGAAAGCTCGAGTTGATCATATCAACAACAACAACAAAGATAAGTTAAGCTTTCAAATACTTCTATAATGAAGAAAAGAGGAACATTCAACGTAACAACTACCATTCAGTTCCGGCCGGCTTCGGTAGAGGCAAATGTTTACCTTACACTTATGTCATGTAACTCGTTGTTGAACATTTTCGAGAACTAACCATTCCGATAAAGTAAAAAACAATACGAGAAGTAGAACCCACCCTTTTTTTGGAAGATGAAAAAATTTCTCTCCACCCTCCCCACCCTCCATCCTCTTATCTCCGAGCACCCTGCGATTTACTTAGTCAGTGCCAAACGGAGTTTACGACCCTTATCTCCCAAAAAATATCGACAAATTATTTTCTTATGTGAGAAATGTTTCCTGTTCAGACGAAATTAATAATCTCAACTAGTAAATGTCCAGGAATGGACAAAAGGAACAGCGTTTTTCGGGCAGACGAAAATACGACCATAGGTGTAAAAATTATTCACCTACAACGTATTTTCCAAATAGCAAACTAGCACAGACGAGACCAGATAATTTTCTGCGAAAGCAAACAACAATCAAGGCTAAACTATTAGAAGCATAAAGGGGGATAAATTTTGGTGCGGCGACAGCTATAAGGAAGAGGAAGGGAAGATACATCATGATACGAAACCTTTCCACGACGAAGTCAACGTGAGGGAGCACCATGTAGGAGTGAAATTTTTAAGGAGGACTATGATGTCACTGAAACACATAGATCTAATCTCTACGTAGGAAAATAGACTCTTCTGCTATATACTTGCCGGCACTAAGTAACTCGCGCAAAAGAAAATGGTAACGGGGAAATGGAACATTAAGTAGAACCAACAACAGCTCAGAGGAATCTTAAGAAAGCTTCCCTCGCGAAAAGAGACATCTCTCACAGACATATCAGTTGAGGCTAAGTTAATGATTTTTGTACAACCTGGTACAGTCGTGCGGGCCAGTTGCAACCTCATTAAAACTATTTGGAGGGTGGCAAAGCGTTTATACATGACGTGTGATTAAGCCCAGAATTCACGCGAAACGCGTGAATGTTACAGAAAGTCAAGGTAAAGTGAGACGTGAAGATCATGGGACGCGTGAATGTTTAAAGTACAAGAATGCGCGAGTTTCTCAAAAAATTCGTGGCAGAGACAGGATCAGGACTCCCCCCCCCCTTCCTTCACCCTGCTACTCTGCTATCCTGCCACCTTCTTTGTGAACGAATTATTTACATCAAGTGTTTCAGGAACTTTAAAAAAAAAAAAAGATCAGTGTATCACCAATACATCACTATTCAGTCATTCGTTCATTATTTAACTCTCAAGACTACGAGTATTTTCCTCGTCGTCTTTCCTGACTCATTCCGTTCTACTCTTTATTCTCGAAACAGCTTTAGCTAAGCAATTACTGATGGTATCTTTTACATTTAGTTTCAATTACGTCATCCGTCTTTCCTTTTACCGCTTACCCACAGGTATGAGTCGGAGGCTACACGTTTTTAAAAGGTTTACTTTAAAATCGTCAGTTCAAAATTTGTTGTTGTTGTTTTCGTAAGTGATGTTTTTAAGACCAAATAACCAACCATCTAACGGTTATACCATTTCACGAGTCAGCTTCGATCCCGCGACAAGTTGGAGTAACGAGTCAAGTTCGATCGCACTTATATTTTTCCCTTGTTAAATAACATCATAAGGCGATACACCATTATTATAGCTGCTAAAAAATTTAAACAAAACAAACTAACCCGTTCACTTAACCATTTTCTATTACCTTTTACTTCAGTTGAAACTGCTTTTTTCATCTGTTTCGATTTCACTACAAACAAAATTCCCGCGTTCTAAATTGTTGCCAAGGGCTCTTAGACCTCTCTTGATCTGAGAATTTTCGCAAAGTTTACAAATCGTTTCCAGGGCTGTTATTGTCCGTTAAGACATGCTAATAACCACAACTTATGCTCTGACTACGAAAATATTGAACTCGTTAACTTTAAACTACTGGTTCATGCATACGACTCAGTGCATATCATACGTTATGTATTCCACACAAGTAACATGGCTTGCTTCGAAAATTTTGAGTAAGTGAAACCCGTATATCACGAGAAAAGCAAGAAATGTTAAACACGATCATTCTGGTGAAACAAATATTTTGCAGAGTAATAATACATGTCATCCACAATTTTGGCCGAGGAGAGAATGGGATCCCTGTGGATGCAACATGGTGGTCGAGTTCGAGATATCAGGTTTACACTCCGAGTCTTGACGGTTTGTCGTTGAAAAAGGACTTCTGCCTCAGGTGTGAATAATCAAAAATTGGTTGGAATCTTTAGAGGGAATTCGTCGATACCTTGGAATGTTTACTTCTATGAACGCAGCTGGGAATCCGTGCAGAATTGAGCCTTGCAAATGGCCGTGAAAAACGTAAAAGATTGAAACTGGGTGTTTCGTATTCCTGGTACGTCATTTTTACAGAGAAATAAATAATTAAGAAAGATAAAAATAAAAATAAAAAAAATAAAGCAAAAATAAGGGAAAAATTTGAATTGACTCAAACTTTACTCGTGACTCGAACTCGACTCGTAATATGGTATAACTCACCATCTGACAACTGGACTGACCAACCGAATGACTAGCCGCTTTTATTGTTGGTGCAGATGTTACAACAAATCCAGAACATTTCTGCTCGTTATGGCTCTGGTACGAGGAAATATGACTATATTACTCCTGCCTCAGTATAATTTCACCGGTTACATGTCTCATATCGAATCGCGTTTAAGCGTCTCTTTTTCGTCTGTAAATCATTGAATGGTCTGTG